ATTTGGTGGTCCAGTGAATCAGAGAGAGAGAGAGAGAGAACAGAGCAGTGATTCAGTAAACGGGGGAGGAAAAGGTTTTTCCACAATTTGTTGGGTACGGGTTAGGGTTTAGCCTTCTGGTTCTTTGCTGTTCAGACAAGTGGCAGTCAACGGCTAGCTCGTGATCAACCGGGAAAAATACTATGGTAACTATGTGCCACGTCATCATTCATAAGGTGACGTGGTAGTTTTCTTAATTGCTCAATTGGAAACATCACGGGACAAATTATTACTCTCTTAATTTTATAACTCAAAAATGTATAAATTATAGATCGTGGAGTATAATAATAACTTCAGAAGTTATACATTATATATTCTTAATTTCAAGAATCACAAACTTATGTATTATTATTATATATTTGTTTTTTAATTTCCTATAAAAATATAAACTACTCTTCTTTGTTTAATATTTTTAAAAATGTACATTTTGACCTAATATTTTTATTTTATTATTTATTTTAAATAATAATAGTATACATGAATTATAAAATTATTGTTTCTAAAAAGTAATTTTTATATAATTTTTTTAAAATTTAACCTGATAACAGGTTCAAACAGTAACAGAAAACATCAAAAAGATGTTTTTTTAAAATATATTTACTTCAATAAATAATTTAAAAATTTTACTTCTAAAACAAAAAGTAATAGAAGATGAATTTGATATGACGGTTAAAAATAAATGTACACGAAAATAGATTTTTTATTTTATTTTACTCGTTCTCTGCAAAATTTTACGGGATAAAATTTTTTAATTTTTGTTAATACGGAAGACAACTATAACTATATTCGCACATAATAAAAAGGGAAAAGTAGTATTTGAGCATAAAATACATGATAGCATGTGATGGTGCTATGTAAATACAACAATCATAAATCATGAAATGGTTAATCTACTCTCTTCTATTCCTCTAAATTATCACATAAACAACACCATACTGGGGGAAAATTATAATGACATGTGGGTGATGTACACTCAGGCCCACAAGGTCATGGCCCATTAAGGCTTATTTGTGACAGGACTTCTAGAGCCTCTGATTGCTGGGCCTTTTATCAAAAAACTTCACTAATACAAACATATTTCTTTGTAAAATTATTTAAAATTCAAATTAAATTTTTAGCTACTTTTAAGTAATCTACAAGTTTTCCTAGCTTATTAAAAATTGAATTTAGAAAATTATATCAATTTATATGTTGTTAGCATATATCTGATCCATATGTGCTTGCTATTGAAGGAACCTAAGATAGGGAGAAAGTCAAGTTGGAGAAGTTTCACTCAGAAGGCTCATTAAAAAGTCTGGAATCAGATTATATTCCATCATTGTTCTTTAAAAAGCTTTCTTCCCCAAGCTAAATTAGCTGGTGATGGTTGCAATTACTTTTATAGTCATACACAAAAATGCTTTCTGAAGCTTTATTTCTATACAATTCATATCATTATTAGATAGCTAACTGATCAAATACCACAGAGATCAAGAAGAGAAAAAAGGGAATGGCAGTAGAATACAGATGCTGCGAGCCAAGCTTTTTTATTTGGATTGTTATAGTCACCGGCTTGGTGTTGTTTGCTGGATTGATGTCTGGTTTAACCCTAGGGCTCATGTCCATGAGCCTTGTTGATCTTGAAGTCCTTGCCAAGTCTGGAACGCCAACCGACCAAAAACATGCCAGTACTTTTCTTCCTTCTTTTATTTCAGACAAGGCTTTTCTGTTCTTTATTTGTTGCTTACAGTCGGAGCACAAGCTATAGTTGAAAATGTAGTCTAAAATTTTCTTGTAGAATTCACTTGTTCCAAACATGATCTTAGTTTCTTGAGCTCCTCTTCGATCTGCTAAGATCATCTCCATTGTTGAGGCTTAATTCTGAAAATTGATAGCAAACTATGTAGAAGAAGCTTAAACATTAGATGTGTTAAGTCATTAGTATAATGGGTTGAAATTTAATTAAACAACATAAAATGACCAAGATTTAAAATTCTGAAGTTCTCATCCTAATACCAAATTAAATAAAAGTTGAAATAATTTTTTCATAAAACTTAAATTACTAGGAATAATATAGTCCATCTAAATACGTTTACCGCATCTCTTGAAATTTTGTAACAACAGCAAAGATATTACCAGTAGTGAGAAGACAACATTTATTGCTCTGCACTCTATTAATCTGCAATGCCGCTGCAATGGAGGTGAGTCTAGTTCGGTGGCTTTTCTTCCATCGTTCCAAATTAAGAAGCTATGTTGCTGAATTCATGCCAGAAAAGGCGTTGGATATTGGGAATGTAACAATTATACTTTTCACGTTTATTGCCTTCAGGCCCTCCCCATCTTCCTGGACAGCTTGGTGGCAGCTTGGGGAGCTATTCTAATTTCAGTGACTTTGATTCTCTTATTTGGTGAGGTTAGTTTCTTCATCCTTTCTGGCACAAGCATACAAATATGCACACTCATGTTTTGTATTTATCCATAGTTACTAGCGAATAAGACTGGAAAACTTTTGTTTTCACCATTGTCTAATTGATCAACACATCTGCAGATTATCCCGCAGGCTGTCTGTTCTCGATATGGCCTAGCAATCGGAGCAAAACTGGCTCCGTTTGTTCGAGTTCTAGTTTGGATTTGTTTTCCTGTTGCATATCCAATAAGCAAGGTGAAATTCAATTTTTCACTTCCTTGCCGCTTAGTTTTATTAAACCAGGAATTTGATTCTTCTGGTGAATATCTGATTACTGGTTTGGTGCTTCACCAGCTACTGGACTTTCTGTTGGGAGAAGGACATGATGCTCTCTTTCGTCGAGCTGAGTTGAAAACATTAGTTGATTTGCATGGTAATGAGGTATATTCTGTTAAGATCATCAGCAGAATCAAGTATCCTAACTCAGTTGAGGAGCTAGATAGATACTGCTGGATAATTTTCTTATGCCTTCTCTCAATTTCCTTCTCTTTTTCACCTGTTTTGACGGGTTTGCAGGCTGGTAAAGGAGGAGAACTGACGCGAGATGAGACAACAATAATTGCAGGAGCACTAGAACTAGCTGAGAAGACGGCTAGAGATGCAATGACTCCTATATCTGAGACCTTTGCAATAGATGTCAATGACAAACTTGACAGGTATGACAAATCTGGGTTTAATAATTGGAAATACACAAGCCAAAAGTGATGTAGAATAAGAAGCTTCTGAAGTGGGCATATTTCAATAGTAGGAGATGGGAGGCAGAAATAACAAATAAGATACCCTAACTTAGTTATTAGGTAAACTATTCATGATAATTATTCAAAATCTTGAAATATTATTTTGATTATTGAGATCCAAGACCTCTAAGCTTTTGTTTCTAATAAAATTTCTCTAAATTTTATCCCCAAACTCTATTTGTCCTACATCACAAAGGCAGATACCCTAACTTAGTTATTAGGTAAACTATTTATGATAATTATTCAAAATCTTGAAATATTGTTTTGATTATTGAGATCCAAGACCTCTAAGCTTTTGTTTCTAATAAAATTTCTCTAAATTTTATCCCCAAACTCTATTCGTCCTACATCACAAAGGCATAGTAAGAATCTACTCTTTGCTGACGAAAACATGCAGGGATCTGATGAGGTTAATTTTGGAAAAAGGGCATAGCAGAGTGCCAGTCTACTATCAGCACCCAAGGAACATAATTGGACTCATATTGGTAATTTGCTTATGCATTTAATTTTCACATTTTCAAAGGATAACTGGCTCGTTTCAAAATTTTACCTGGGTGCACAATTTGATTTTGCAAGAGTTTGACAATTAAAATTCCCAGAGTTCATAATAGTACCTGATGAACTTTCCTTGTAGGTGAAGAACTTGTTACCCATCCATCCAGAAGATGAGGTACCTGTAAAGAATGTCACCATTAGGAAGATCCCAAGGTATTATACTTTCTATCTGTTATAGGTTAGTCTTCTACCCAGGAAACACTCACCATACGCTTAGTGTTCCTGTATTATATATAGAAGTGAAGAGAAAGGGTACCTTAATTTCAGAGAAATCTAACCTACTAGTAAATCAAATTTGCGCTGATACAAAATGGGTCATGGCATTATTTTTAAAGGTTTCCTTACACAATCTCCGAAGCTGTAAGCGTAAATCAAGCACAAAGTTATTCTACCCAGTGCTGAAATTAATTAACAGAAATGAGATGATAATCACAATTGAAACTCTACCCTTCTGAAATTTTGAAACTTGAAAATAATCAATTATGAGATTATCCTAAAAGATTAAACTGGTAAAAAAAACTAAATCTATTGTTTAACAATTAACATAATCAACTGTATAGCGTGTGTGAACTAAAGTGAAGATCTGCTCCAGGGTTCAAGAGACCATGCCTCTTTATGACATCTTAAATGAATTTCAGAAAGGCCATAGCCATATGGCTGTAGTTGTGAAACAAAAGAATGACGTAGAGCAGCAAGCCAATGAAAACTCAACTGATGGTAAGGACACTAACCTTATCCCAAGGTGTATCTTTAAACTGCCAGTGATAAAATTTAAAGAACCATATTTTTTGTTATTTAAAAATTGAATAGCACTGCAAGATGTGAGGGTGGACATTGATGGTGAAAAGCATCCAGTGGAGAAATGTTTAAGAAGCAAGAGATCGCTCAAGAAGGCAAAGAGTTTGTCTTACGATATAAATGCTCATAAAGGAGGCTCCAGAAGCAAGAAATGGTCAAGGGACTTCCACTCAGACATCCTGCAAATCAACCACGACGACGGCCCACTGTTAGTAACTACTGGACAAGAGGAAGCCATTGGGATAATAACACTCGAAGATGTTATTGAAGAACTGTTACAAGTATGTGCAATAATACATTTTTTTCAATGAAGTTCGTTTTGCTTTTGTGCCCAGCAGACTTACCTGTGTTAAAATTCTGTTCATGTAGGAAGAGATCTTTGATGAGACGGATTACCGCGATGAAAGTTAAAGATATCAGAACAACAAAGAAAAGTCTGCAAACAGGAAGAAGATTTACAACCTGAACTGTTGAGCAGGGATTATGTGTTAGCTATTCACAGCCTGTATACAAGTCAATGATGTACAATGGTGAGAAAAAGGAAAAAAAAAACAAGAATTTTTTTGAAGCCAGGCAAAATCACTGACTTGACTGATATATAGAATTCTATGAATATACCAAAGCACTCAAACAAGTGTAATTCGATTACAACACTGGTAATGACCAAAAAGGTTATATTTCTTGCCAATACAAATTTCATAACCGGGGTATGGTAAATTTAGTGGGTCTTTCACTATCAAATACACAACCTAGTAACGGTCGGGTAAGAAGGAAGCTCTTGTTAGCTGGGTGCTCCAACAAACAACTGGACAAGAATCACCAATGATTCTTATTTATTCAGCATAATGTTGATTCTTGAGGCCCTTAATATCTATTTATGACAAACGCTGTATTTTGACAAGTATGAAATACTTTCCACGTTATTTGCATCCTTGAAGTTCTCCGCAGGTAAAATCTAATACTCCCAAATATCAAATATTCCTCCACCAAGATATGCATCTGCATACAGGACAAGAAATAAATAAATAAGCATCGTAACTTATAAACAAGTAACCAAAAAATTTAAGAAGACAGATATATACAAGATTCACCTTGCAAGTTGTTGGCTCCCATCCACATAGAAAATTCATCTAAGCACTACGCAGACGATTTAACTAATGAAAATTGATGGAACTATTGACTGGACACTAGAAACTAGAAAATGACTAGCAAAAAGAACGTGGTCTGATTGGTTATTCAGAGGGCACTGTTATTTATCAACAAGCACCTATGATTCTTACATGTTGTTCCTTTGTCTTTGGAATCAAGATATTAACATGTATAACAACCTAATGTACATCTATCAAGTCCTTGTGAGATGGAAAGGTGGTCTAAAAGTTCAAATACTCTATGAACAAGAGCTATTTCGTATGATGGACCAACACCTACTTGATGATGCCTACTATCCAGGATTCATCATCAAGTTGAATTCTTTTGAAGAGGGGGCGAATAAAGCGGGGCCATCTAGTAGTTTTTACTAATGTAAAAACTACCATAACTATTATATTTTAGCAAGATACTATATTTATTGAGGTTTTATTTCTTGTTCAGTTAGTAGTCTTACCTTGTTCTTGTTCTCCTTTTTAAGGGTTCTAGTCATATTGGAATGTGTAGACACTAAAAATAAATGGGTGTTCATCATTATGAAACAGTCTATTATGTATAAAGATTGATTTTCTCATTTTAATTGAGTGTCTATACCCTAGTGATATGGTATGACTTGTGACACACCATGATTGTGGTGTGTCATCCTATGATTA